GCTCTCTACTCGAACACAACTGGTAGAGTGAGAGCTTATGGCGAACTGTCATCAGAATTGATCACCTCAAGTGGTGTTCGTCAGGGCTGTCCACTCTCCCCATTCTTGTTCAACTTTGTCATTGACGTACTTTTAGAGATAACACTCTCCTCATCTAAATATACAGAGGTTGAACTTCTACCAGGAGGTTCACTTGTTGACTTAGAATATGCTGATGACATAGTTTTATTTGGTGAAGACGCTGACAAAATGCAGAGTCTTCTGACCACTCTAAGCAACAATGCAAACATGTTCGGGATGCGATTCTCCCCCTCGAAATGCAAAATGTTGCTTCAGGATTGGCTTGCATTGACATCCGATCTAATGATAGGGAGTGGCGTAATTGAGCGTGTCGATCGCTTCACTTATCTTGGAAGTCTCATCAGCCCTTGTTGTCTAGTGTGTGACGAAATCTCAGCACGGATACAGAAGGCTCGACTAGCTTTTACCAACTTGCGTCATTTATGGCGTAGGCGAGGTATCCGTCTATCAACCAAAGGACGTGTTTACTGCACAGCAGTTCGTTCCGTCCTACTTTATGGCAGTGAAACATGGCCGGTAAGAGTAGAGGATATCCGTAGGTTACTAGTATTTGATCATAGGTGTCTTCGAAACATTGCTCGTATATCATGGGACCATCGAGTAAGTAACGCAATTGTTAGGAAACGGGTACTAGGTAAGGATGGCAAATCAATTGATGACGTAGTGAAACTTCATCAGTTGAGATGGCTGGAACACGACCGACTGCCTCGACGTGCGATGTTCAGTAGTATAGGAGTAGGTTGGAAGAAAGCTAGGTGCGGCCAGACCAAAACATGGCACAAGTCCATGAAGTCACTGGCAAGTGGACTGAGTCATGTTGCTAGGTGTAGACTACCTGGTTGGGGACCGGGAGCGGGACCGCGAGATGATAGCAACCGATGGTTAGAGACCCTAAATGACATGACTCAAAATCATTTGCAATGGCGCAGGTGCATACACTCTCTGTGTTCTCCCAAATTTTGATCTCCTTATTCCTCCTTGTCTCTTTTTTTCTCTTTCCAAATTTATTTCACTGTATTATACCCTTTAAATAACATCTCCAAACACTAATTTTCCTGATTACTGCTTATGCTCTCTACCACTATGGGATTTGAATCGACCGCTGCATCTCTGTGCTAATGTGGTGTGGCAACTGGAACTGATGTACTTACGTACGAAGTTCTACGTTGTTACTAACTGACCGATGCCCCTTCGTACCAGTATTTATTTATTCAAATAAATAAAATGGTCTAGATAATGGTGAAAACCAGAAAGCTTTGGCTATTTGCTTCTTCCTGTTGTGGTACTAGATCATGAATCCATGACCAAACTTATAATATTCAGGTTCATTCAAGAACCACGTTCCCAACTCCAACGTTTTTGCCACGATCATCTAATACTGCAGGCAGCGACGGTCTTGATCCTGATACTTAATACCATAGCATTTTACTTAAAACCTGGTGTCCCGATTTGTTGCTTAACAGGTCGCTAAGCAATGGTGATTTTAAAACTAGTTTACCATGATATATTCCTGACAAAACATTTCTGAACTGATACCGTTTATATCCAATCTCACATATATACGATTTTTGTTTCTATTGTAGAGCTTCACTGAACCACTGAGCGACGGTGAAGAAGTTGACAATTATATCAGAAATTTCCTTAATAAAGATTAATCTAATTGTAATAAAGGCAGCCAAACGTGTTTTTAAAACTATTGTTGTCAACAAGATCATTGTATACCACTTTTTATCTCTCATGTATTCAGTCACTCCGAATAAATTCTTCTTTCCCTCTAATTTCTTACATTTTGTAATTTTCCCATGCTTTATTCATTCCTCTATTATTGGAGTGTATATGCAGCTATTGTTAAATATTGTGTTTATTTATAAACATAACTACTTCTAATGTACACCTTATGATATTATTCTGATCTTGTTGAATCTCTCAAACGATCCTTAAACTTCTTTGTGCAGATTTTATTGTTCTTCAGAACTACTATTAATTTCACGCTTTATTATTTCAGAGGGGACTACATACATTTGTCTATTTAGTACATAAACATTCTCTGTATATGTCTATAGAACTTGTTAATAATCGTAATCACTATAAAGCACTCTTTTTCACTCCACTGTTTTTGTAATTATTTCTCTCATCCCATCCATTCATTTCTTGTTGTTAATCACTTTGCGAATGTATCTTGATTACATGTTACTGAATGGTTTCATGAAAAAACGTCAACCATGTCATGCATTCATCTCACGTTTATATTCCTTTATTCATAAAGATTTGACCGCGACCACCAGTAAATCCACTATAATTACTACCACTGTTACTGGGAGATACTCGTAAATAATCGATTAATTTGCCATTAGCTTTATCGCTGTACAGTCATCACCATTTTGTGTTACCCATTTTTCCTGTCCCTTTCATGTGTAATCGTTTCCAAACTAAAGATTACGAGTTATCCGGTAGTCTTTTCCCTTATAGACATGTTTGACATCCATAAAAATTTCGTATGTTAATACCTCACAATGATACAAATGTTTCCCGTGTTTTTATAAAATTAAATTAGTCAAGTATGTTCTGTCTGTTTGTTTGAAGTTTCTAAAGTACCTAATGTTGGTTGTAATGAAAAATAAACTTAATTGTCATAATCAGTAATTAGGAAGACAGTCTCTGACTTAGGTTGTGTGAAGGGAATGGCTACGCGTGAAACTACAGTGATCAATAAGCATTACTTAGGAAATATACTTCTGTCTTATTGAAAGCATTAGTGTCAATATGGTGAATGAACAAATCATTCTAGGATCGTCCATCCAAATACATCGTATTAGACCGAGTAAGGATATAATATTACGAGAAATTGCTTCGTATAACAAAACGTAACCCTGAGCCACATTTTTCGGTCCGATGCTCAGCTTCTCAATAAGTCACAAGCTCAAACTTTGTTCAACTTCAGATTTGGCAGCTCCACAGTATTACTTTTCTACATACAAACGATATAGCTTGAATAAATGAAGTTGAGGGAGGTCAGAGCAAGATTCAGAACGATCAGACGAGGACTAAGTACCCGGCCTTTTATGAGGATTCATTAATGTTACCTCCCCACTTCAGTTTTCCTTACCACCAAACGGAAGTCCATAGGGTAAGGCGAGGTGTCACATTCCTAGAGTCCACCTTTCCTAACCCATTCATTCCATTGTAAGGCAGCATCGCTGGTTGTCTGAGGGAAAAACTCCTTACGCTCATGATTTTGAGATGGTGAAGATTTGTAGCTAAGGTGGATAATTTTGGAGTCTTGTTCTCTGAGCTGGATGATTTAGTCATAGAGCTTTCATCTTACTGCTTTCACACCCTAACACAGTCGGCAGTACAACTTCGCCTTCGAACCTTAACTTACTACTTTAAATCTTACCGTCCTTCACCTGACATATTAGGACCTAAAGAAACATGTGTCCCGGTCAATATTGCTTGGTTTAGTCCACGATAGGTAGGAATGGCTGTCACGCAATTGTGGTTGCGTTATTTACCACCAACTCCACATGTTGCCTTAAAGGCAGGTATGTTTGTCTGATGAATCCAATCGTTTCCCTTACCGCATTACGCATACTACATTTTATTTTCAAGATAAATAAAAACTTCATGTCTTAGCTGTCTGGACTGTGCTTTTTATATTGGATAAGTAGCGGTAAGTAAAAAGCCCCAAGAGACCAATGATAGTATTATTTTGGAGTCGCCAAACGGATTCTGAACAACAAATAATGATGATATCTTCGTGACACTTATAAACGACTATTTTTCAATCAACGATAACATACCGAGGGTACAGATCCAGATGCTTAATTTACCTCCTAACATTTATATTGTAATATATTATAATCGTTTTTTTTGCCTGTAAACTGAAGAATCTAACACAAGCAAACAAATGTGTAAGATCTTTATTGAAGGTTAGGAAGTAGATAGTGTTCAGCGGCAACAAGTACAGGTTCTTAATCAAGAAATGAAACTGATAAGAACATAAAGACAATGAATTGTGTTAGTCGTACACACAAGAATGTATAACCAGTATCACGAACACTGCGAAATTCCTACAGTTGGGTGGAAGATATATTTAGACAACTAAAGACATGGACTTCAAGGTTCTAAATTTGGTATCTGGAGTAAGAAAAGTCTCAGATTAGGTCATCTGCCGAAGTAGTTGTGTGTACCAACCGCTCCACTTATCTTGGGAGTCTCATGAGTTCTGATGTCAGACGAAATATCGGTACACATCTTAAAGGCTCGACTGACTTTTGCTTAACTTCAGTCACTTTTGGTGTAGGCGAGATACCCGTCTTCTAACCAAAGGACAAGTTCATTGCGTAGCATTTCGCTCCGCCCTACTTTATGAATGTAAAACAGCCATCAAGAGTAGAGAATATCCGTAGGCTACTGGTATGCGATCATAGATATATTTGAAGCATTGCTTGTATTTCGTCACCACGGAGCATAAAATGTCTGGACTGGGAGTAGGGTATTAGGTAAGATGGGAAATCGATTGATGAGGTAGTAAGTCATCAACTGAGGTGATTGGGACATGTGTTACGTATGTTAAACCACCACCTACCTCGACGGGAAATGTGTGTCTTCACATCATGGTGTGTTTACAACACTGTTGGTTTGTGGGTCGTTTATGTAAACCAATAAACTAGAACCAATCAAATATTCTACAAATCATCAGCACTAAAACATTGAATTAAATACTTTTACCTTATGATAGTGATCTGGTAAATTTACACAAAACCTTGAACCTTAATAACTTAAGGTAATCCAAGGAGGTTGCATTTAACTTGAATGTTAAGACTTACTAGATATACGTTCTTCTTTTAAAAGGTAGAAATAAACCATTAGACTCTGACTCACAGAGAATCATACTGACTAAGCAAAAAGACAACCTATTCCCATTATAAACTGATCATGGAATAATTTATTAGCATTGATTTATGGTGATAATAATAATAATAGTCAATATATCATCATAAATATCATCATAAATCGGTTGGAAAATATTTCATTTGAATTGTCCTTTTATTATCAAGTAGATTTCATTCTTAAATTGAATTCGATGTAGAGAACTGTATCGGTTCCAACAAACCAGCTTCAATCATAGGACAAGTTGGTCCACCACTACTGTTACCATTTCGATTATTATATGTTAATAATAATCTCGGACAATATCTTATTGTGTGAGCACGATCTTTAGTAGCACCGCATAATGGACAAGTAAATTTACGTAGAATTGGACAAGTTACTCGACCAAAACGATCTTTAACCTGGATTATAGATGGGAACAAAGCGTCCGTGTACTTATATATTTATATATCTTGTATTTACTAGAATAACAAAATTGCGTTTTTGGTTTGGTACGTCACGAGATTGAAAACAACAACAAGAAATAAAGTATATGATCTTTCCAACAAACACTCGATTAAAGGAAGTAATACTAGTACTGTGGTGTGCTACTGATGTCGACAGATATAAGTAGTATGTATTATCAATCAAAAGTGAAATGCCTGGAGGTAGAAGGTTACGAAGATCGAAGAGAATAAGAATAGAGAATGATTGGTGTGGAAATAAAGGAGCAATAATGTATGAGACAACTGATGACATTTTGCAAATAAAATATTTACTGAATGGTCCTCAGATTTCACTAAGATATTCTGTAATTTCGTATTCAAATACATCCGATTGTCTCCACTTGTGTTCCCGTTCACTACACTACTACGACTACCAAAGGTTTTAATCACCTATTGTGTTGATATATGATTTACACTTACTCATAAAACATCAGAAAACAGACTTCCTATTTATTGTGATATTACAAATAAATTGTTTTATCACTACAAACCATCCACTGCTCAATCTATTTAAAATTATCAAGGTTTTACTTAGAAACTGATAACTAATTGTTCAATTATATTTAAACGCTGATAACCTTGATTATATTTAACCTTGTTGGTCAGTTTCTATTCAAACTATTCTAAGATTTATATGATGCTGGTGTATGACTTTTGCCTCATGACAATAACACCGCACATTTAACACTGATTTTATCTGAGATTATGATCCGTTATAAATCAGCCTATCAACTACTCACTAAACTTAATTTTCTCCAATTTCCTATGGTTACCGCAATTCAAAATGAGAATATGGAGGGGGGGGTAACATTGGAAAGATGTAAAGACGATAAGGTGCAAAACAAAGAAGTTGAATAAATCCAACTTCTGTATTGAACCACGAAAATGGAAATAGTACATTTATACTGTCATAAATGGTGACCATTACAAAAAGACGTCAAGATTGATATACTCTGAAGTTTGTGAAGTATTTTTCATGATTTCAATTAGAGTATTTATCTAACAGATTATATATTTGCCAGCTTTCTGATTAACTTTTCTTACCCAAACTAAACAGTATCGACAAGATTCGTGTTAAAAATCATCGAATAAAAATACTAGTTTTGGTTTTTCTAGTATACAATTGTTCGAGCACTAATAAATCACTCTATATTGATAGACACTAGAATGTTTGCCCAATTCTTTATGGTGATCAAATCGTATCGATTGTGTTGTAACATTATTCATCAGTCTATGTTATTTGATACTGTAGGTGGACTGTTTGGTTTTAAGTCGTTCAATTCACTCATCAGGTAAAAGTGAATTTAAGTTGCGTTCTGACCTGTGTGACACTCCTGATTATAACACTGAATGATAACGCGACTTAGGACCCAGTTATGCAGCGCCAATCACCTTAAGACTTCAGATGCACAGCTCGCTGATGAGTAATGAAATTAAAAAACTTAAGTCTAGAGCCTCTTTCCAATTTCACCCGAGTTTACACATTGCACAAAAAAACATATCATTTAACTTGTCACAACTCACAAGAGAAAACCAGTAAAAATGGGGAGTTGACGATATAAGGCTACGAGTTATGTAAGTTATATTGAGTAATGAATGATGGAATGCTCAGGTCCTCTAACCACTATTTTGCATTATCCTAAGGCTCTCACTGTTGGGGTGATCCAGAAAGCTTCTCGCAAATGACGAGAAAGGATTAGGAAACACTAAGAGGCATTTTAGCCAATCAGCGTTCATTAAAAGTCTAGACAGAAACATCAAGGAAGTGAAGTCACATGAAGAGTTTCTGGTTGGGTGATTACTATAAGGCTACTATGTTTGGCAGCATTCCAGAATTTTCGGGAAACCCAAGGACATGTAAAATATTATCAAAACCCTATATTTTCTGTATTAGAACGAATGTTTGGAGTAAAGTACCTATCGTATACTTTGCCCCTTTTCTCTCGTGTTCGGGTCGCTGTGTAGCTTCAGCTTGGGGGTTACGAGAATAGTTTAAGAACTGAATACAACGTTCAATTAGCGAGACTTATCATTCACTTAGAAATTTTACATCGTGCAGTTTTACTTTTGGACGTATAGTATTAGATTTACTTAAAATCCCTACGGGTCCAGCTATATGTAAGAGGCAAAATAATTAAAACGTAGACGAGTTGGAAGGAACTTAGTAGGTATCTATAAAAGTTAACTTTCATCTGTTTAGTATCTAATAACAGTTAGATGTGCAAGAATAAGAATTGATCCTGTTCTTAGTTGATCCATGAGTGATGATATTCAGAAGCGAACTACTACAGATCTTCATCACATATCATCTCAAGTTTATCTGTTTTACTACAACAAGCAACGGCAATGAAGAGTTAAACCTCACTCTAATGGAACACTTCAACCACGATTACTAAGGTGTTTTGAAATTAATTCTATAATTTAATCCTGGTCGTAACGATTTGTAGCCAAGTAGAAAACCACTTCATCTGGACTATAGCAGAAACTTTTGAAAATTAGCTCGATCATTTCAAGTATTAGTTGAGCTACAATCGATTAATTTACCTCTATCTCTGTTAATTAGCTAATAGTTTTCCAACAAACTTTTAATCAATCATTCATTAAAAATAACTAGACATATTCAAATCAATTACGGCTAACTGTTTCAATGACTATTACTACTATTATCACCATTATTCATTCAAACGTTTGGCATGATTGTTTAATTCATATATCTAGGTTATACAGTTATCGAAAAAGTCACTCATCGACGAACCATGCATAACTAATTACCCACCTCTTAACATCCAGGTATTATACACAGATACAACCAGCCACTGTCATCAAGATACATTTCATAATTGAGAAGCTCCCAGATATAGTTAACTGTAACTTGATTTACACAAATTTATCTACGCTGTACAGATTAGGCGATATATATGGTGAGGTTTCATATCACACAGAATATTTAGACTACTTTAGAAAAGAAATAGTTCAAGCGATAAATCAATATAGAACCAATGAACTGGGTATTTTCTTGTAAAGTAACTAGTTCTATTTCTGTAATCAAAATGAAAAAACAAAACTCTTGAAAATAATAATTTCACTCACTTTATGACTAGTATACATCTCTTTAGGTTCATTGTTGTTACGACAAAATACACACAAGTCTACATTTGCTTCTAATAATCTTTGAGTAGAAATAGCCATATTTTGTAGAAATTTTGCTAAATCTAGTAAATGACTTTCATCCAATGTTTGATTTGATGTTAAACATGTATAAATGCTAAAAAGAAAGGTAATCATCATGTTGTAAATTATTGAATATATTTTAAAACTAAATAAGACCGTTATGAAAAGACTATATTTGCTAACATTACTCTCCAATAATCTAAAAAGAATATTTCCTAAGATGCTTTGCTTAAATATGAGATAATGTAGCAGTGTAAACCGACAGCTCCCCCAAGGATGGAAATCAGGACTTTTAAGCCTCATAACAAGTATAATAAGTATGGAATTTCTTTCAATCGGTAGAATTCAAATTGGGATCAGCCACTGTGATATAAAGATTCTAACACTGAGTTGTTTGGGTGGCCTAAAGATTAAAATTGATGTTACCCCCGGTGTTTGAATCCAAGACTAAAGGTACTAGGATGACATTTTTCCAACTTTCCCTATTTCTTAATGGCTAACTTGAATCAATCCGTGAATAACGTCTGTACACATGTGCTAACAGAAACTTTTGGAACTAGTCACTTACTGAGTATCACCCTATTTATTCACACTGAGATCATGAATTGTTCGAATTTTTAATAAGATTTCAAGATATATATATAATATCTTGAGATCTTATTAAAAATTCATAACCTGTAAAGCCAAACAAACGATGTCAAATAGAAACTACTTAATTAAATTGTGTAAGGATCGAGTTCTTCTACACACCAATGAAAGACTAGAGTAACAGCAATTATTGTATTCCAATCCGACAGCTCAATGGTATCCCAAGGGTAAAAAGATGTTTTTATGTTGATTGTTAAGTGTATATTGATAAGGCATTCGGAAATTAGGACGAATCAGCTACGCAGTGAATCTTGATTATAAAAGGTTTTCCAGCCTGAATAAATCATTCTCGTCATTCGACTCAAATTGCATTACTGAGTTCACTACATTTTTGATATTGATGACTCAAATTTTACATCAAGTTAAAACTCATTAAAACCGTCACAGAATTAAAACAGATAACATTTTATGTTCGCCTTCATTCACAAAGCAGTCAATTTGTAGAATATGCAAACCTACTTTAAGGACAATTCTTCAGTCAGTCTACATGTAGTGGCTTTGCTTCTCTAATCTATCACCCTTGTAACCATTGTAATATAAATTTCAACAGTGTTTGAAATCAAATTGCAATGAGAAGCGGCAACTACAGTTTATTAGCAGATAGCGAAGATCACAAAACTACAATCACATCAAGCGAATTTGAAGTAGGGAGGCGGATATGTGTGTGCGAGCAAATACAGAGGCAAACTTATACTCAAATCGCATAAGGGCACAGTAAGGCAAAACAAAATCTAATAATAGGATTTGAGTACATATATACATAAGGAAGAGAATGAATCATCGAGTGATGTTTAAGCAATCAACATCTTAGCTAGAGTCTGTCATGTGATCTCGAGATCGTAGTAGTGCAAAGAAATAGACGAATTGTTACTGCTCTATTAATACTGTCTGTTAAGTAAGTTAACAGAAAGGGCTTAATGAAAATTAACTATGATCGAAATTGGCTGTAGGATAGTTGCTATATCCATTTGAAAAACATAGGTCTGTAAAAAGAAGTGAAGTTACTTCATAACAGAATTTTTACATTTTGGCTCACATGCCTAATAAATTCAGATCAAACTTTAGAATTGTACTACTGACTCAACAGTAAGTAGTAAACGTTGACTCAATCACTAAGGTAAACTTCCTAGCTAAATCAACTCTCTTCAGTTAATTGAACTGATTGGTTTGTATATAAGAATATAAGAACAATATCAAGAAACCAACAACTCTATTGCCAATAGATTATAGATTACAACTGATTGAATGAAATTACTAAATTAGACTTAGTTTGAAACCTTAACAAATACAAGAAATTGATTAAGAGGTATTTCATTCCAAGTGACAAACCACTAAATACAGTTGCAGTGCATTGTTTTTGCTAACATTAGACCATTAATGTACTTCTTATATAAAATATGCGTATATACTGCACTTATCAAGATTAAACATCAGTGTACAAAGAATTTATTGTTGTTATCTTTGTAAACATTCACAATACAAAACATCAAAATGTATATCATACCTTAATATAATACTGAAAAAGTGGTTCGTTCACAACTAACTACATTATTCTTAACTGTAAACAACTAAGCAACAATATAATGAATACAAATGAAAACATACAAAGAAGGTATGTCACAATATGATATGACATGATAAATAGATTTCACTTACTATTTTTAAAATGATATCAATAACATTGGTGTAAATGAGTGTACTTTCAAAGTAATAAAAACAAGATAACGAGTTAATTACTACTAATACTACTACTGCCACTCACATATTTCTCCATCCAATCATACATCGAATATAATCTAAATACTGTTCTGTTTGTCTTCTACTACCATTACTATTATTATTAGTAGTATGACCATAATTAATTAGATCTCTAGCTAAAAAGAAAAAGAAATAAGAAATATAGATGAATTTTGAGATGGTGGAGAAGATTTGTAGCTCAGGTGGACATTTTGATGGAGTTTTGTTCTCTGAGCTGGATGGTTTGCACAGAACAAGCTGTGAAACATATGGAGAAATTCGAACACTTCACTTCTATCTGAAGTTTGTGCTGATGATGTCGTTCAGTAGAATGATGACAGCTCCACGACTAAATCATCCAGCTCAGAGAACAAAACTCCACCAAAATATAGATGAATTGTAATATGTGTATTAATGTACATGTTCTTTTATTTCTAAGTGCAACTACTAAATAACTTGATGAGATGTGGAATCATGTTTTGATTGAACGTGTTTACAGTGAATTAATAAATTAAATATATCAAGAATGGGAATTTGTGGAATATTGTAGTAATTTTAATAAATGAATTCATCAGTCAATCTAATTGAGATCACCAGTGAAAACCTGTGAAATTACTATAATCTCCACAAATCCAAAATCATGTGCTTACTGATGACTAGCATTAAGATGGATTACTTGGAGTTCTAGTGAAAAGCCGTAATCAGTCGAGTCCAATCCGTGTCGAGTGGAGACAGTTATCAATATCAGACAATGAATGAAGGGTTAGGAAAGATCATGGATTGATCGAAGTTGGACATTAATATCGTTGGATGCCAGTTCAATAGCCTGGAGGTTAAGTGATTGTGCATGAATACTGCGTGGCAGTCCGTTCTGTTTTAATTTACGGCAGCGAAACATGGCCCTTAAGAGTAGAAGACACTCGTAAGCTACTAGTATTTGACCACAGATGCCTTAGAAATATTGTTGGCATCTGCTGGGATCACCTGGTAAGTAATAGTGAGGTTAGACGCAGGGTATTAGGTAATGATGGTAAATCAGTTGATGAGGTTATCAATCTTCATCGACTGAGATGGTTGGGCCACGTGTGACGTATGCCTGAACACCGATTACCACGACGTGCAATGCTATCCGGTGTTGGATATGGTTGGAAGAAAGTTAGAGGCAGCCAAACCAAAAAGTGGCATCAGTCCATAAAGTCACTAACTTCTAGTCTGAGCCATGTTGGTAGATGCAGACTACTTGGTTGGGGTCCGCGTGACTTTTGTAACCAATGGTTGGCGACTCTTGGTGACATGGCTCAGAATCGATCACAATGGCGTCGGTGTATACACTCCCTGTCTTCCCTTAAACTAAGAGATTAAAATCACTTCATATCTTTCTTTCTACGAACTAATTCTTTCTTCCTATACTATATCCTTATTGCAATCTTTCTCCTATATATTACCACCTTTGACCTAACCACTCCTATGAATCCGCTGTTCATCTTGCTGTGCTAATGAGGTATGGCAACCTGGACCGATGCACATATGTGCCTGGTCCTACGTTGTAGCTGACTGATTGTGCATGAGACTAAAGGTCTCGGGTTTGAGCGCCTCGTGATGGATTATGGATGTGCATTTGTGAGGACGGGACGGCCATCCAGTGCTCCCAGGTTTTCAATAGTGGTCTAACCTAAGATCGACTCATGAATGCAATTACTAAAATTACAATATGTCAAATTCTAGTTTCTAAATTACTCAAGAACATTTGAATGTATTTACAGTATATCCGGAGAGTAGGAAAAAGCTTGTATATATTTACAAATTATATTACACGTAGTATATTTGATATGTAACCACCACCTAGTGAACCAGAAAGTGATAGTGCTATATTACAGGATGCCCGAGTTACTAAGATCACCAAATCCTGTGTAATAATTATATCAAGATTGTAAAACTGCATACATAAAACCAGATATTTAACCGGTAAGATAAAATTTGCTCAATATGGGATAAACAATTGAAAAGAAAAATGGGTCATTCAACCCAAGGTGGCACAGAACCTTGTACAAATCTCCGTTGTTGATTTAGACTCTCGAGTATTTACTCGTTTAACTGTGAAATATAAAACTGCAAAGGAAACTATCACGTCTCATGGTGCATAAGCCGAGATCAGTTACTAACAATTACTGTATAAAGCGAGCATCAATTAAAAGTAAATGACTTCGTCTAAAAGAAAATTTTCTTTCAGTTCAAAATAGTTCCTATTCAACTTTCGACACATTACTTCAAAGGAGTATTCCTTTAAAATATAAAAAATGTCATTGTGAACATTCTGTAAGACGTTGATTAAGTTCCCAAGAAACTGGACCTCAAATGTATACAAGAAATCATACATAGAGTCGACAAACTCCTGGAGATTGTAATGGCTCAAGGAAATGCTTAGATTACTAGTCGACGCATCCTTATTTAATACTGACAGTTGCTAGAAACCCGATAAACGAGGTCAACAATTTTATGGCTGGGACAAAATACGTGTTGAGTCAAATTTGATCGTACTTATACACACTTATGGTAAATAATTATCTTCCTTTGTAAAAAAGATCATGAAAGACAACAGAGGTGTAAAATCAAAAAGTCTAGAGTTTGGACTAATACCATGTAGTCAAGCCCTTATATGTACCGGCACTACAAACAGAACACACAGAATGTAGTCTGTTTGACTACATTGTAACGTTAATTAATTACCAAAACATGGTCTTCAATTCTTGGACCTACATTGTAAGTCCAGTAGCACAGACGTCAGTTGAGATGCACTTTTAATGATTTGTTTTTTTATTCTCATTTATACCCACTTCTTAATTGGGCCATCATGTATCATCGTTTCTACGCATACTTTGACAGTCTTAGTTATATCTACTTTTGGTTTTATCATGTAACGGGTTACTAACGCGACTCTAGTTATTCTTAAAGATTTAACATGTCCACTGAAATCTTAATAGCAATGATATACACACCACATTCACACTAAATGACTCACATTCTCTCTATGAAAAAAATGAATTTTTGTTTACTGGACATATATTCACTTCAGAATTGTTTTGTTAATGATCATGTGTGGTAATTTCCACTGTTTTCTGCAACTTCGAACTACGGTCCCAAACACAAGAATGGAACTACTTTTATTCCCAACTCTTGGAATGTTTCCAAATATAACTTCATATCCAAGAATTAATTCGTTCTTAATCATTTGAACGGACGTTTGTTAGTATTTGGACGGTCTTACAAAAATTTATATTTAAGATTTCGATTATTTTCTATCTGTTGGTAATCATAATGGCTGATCACTGAAGTGGTAATAATTTCATGTTTACCCACCCCCATGTGACTGTGTGTTAGCGTTTTTTTAGCGAGTTAGTTTTCTACGGGATGGGGACGCTAACCCCATGCCCAACCCTCCTCCTTTATCCTGGCTTGGGACCGGCAGTAGCCCCCAGAGGGACTCCAGGCGGAGTTGATGAACAGGGTGGATCTGATGCAGATGTGAAGGCGCAGATCAGAAAAGCAAGAGCAGCATATTTACAATTGAAGAACATCTGGAACTCAAAACAACTGTCAACCAACACCAAGGTCAGGATTTTAAATACAAATGTCAAGACAGTTCTACTGTATGGGGCAGAAACCTGGAGAACTACGAAAGTTATCATCCAGGAGATACGAGTGTTTATTAACAGTTGTCTACGCAAAATACTTCAGATCCGTTGGCCGGACACTATTAGCAACAACGTACTGTGGGAGAGAACAAACCAGATCCCAACAGATCAAATCAGGAAGAAGCGCTGGAAGTGGATAGGACACACATTTAGGAAAGCACCCAGCTGCGTCACAAGACAAGGCCTCACATGGAATCCTGAAGGTCAAAGGAAAAGAGGAAGACCAAAGAACACATTACGCCGGGAAATGGAGATAGACATGAGAAAAATGAACAAGAATTGGATGGAAATAGAAAAGAAGGCTCAGGACAGAGTGTGTTAGAGAATGCTGGTCAGCGGCCTATGCTCCATTGGGAGTAACAGGCGAAAGTAAGTAAGTAATGTGACTGTGTGACTGAGATTCTAAATAAACCTCAGTACCAAGTGACGAAGTACGTTGGGGGCCGGTTTCAAAACACCGCTTTATCTTTTCTGACTTCAATGATGAAGTCAAAGCTATGACTTCAAAAGTGACAAGCCAATATGGTGTATTCATGTGGTGTGAAACTTACTACTATCAATGTCTGCGGACTAAATAGATACAGAACCTTCCAATCATTGCATAAATACTTAATCCATAATTATTATGAGGGTTTCTCCAGAAACCAATGAATCCAACAACCAAAAAGAATAAAAATGACAGAAAACTAGGAAATAAGCTTCAGAAGCTATTCATTCGGCAGTTTGCAGACCGCTTTCTTAGTTATACTTGGCATATATTTCGAATGCAATCGCAAGATACAACAGCTAGGTAAAATCGACACTTCTCAAAGACATTCGTTACGTGGTAAGGAAAAAAGTAAGCTTAATAAGATTACTAAGAAGCTACCATACAAACATAATTCCAACTGAGAAATGAAGGTAAATTATGTACTTACCAAACTAAGCCCAGTGTTTGGAAGCTATATTATTCGATGAGCAACCATATTCCTTAATGGAAGTGATGGAAACAACCGATTCGATTAAGGGCTAGAAATCACACTGCACATCAGAACATTATATCGAAAAGTAGCTACTAAGTAAAATTAACAACACTATACCACAGTCATCGGACAAAAGGTATAAACTTGGTTGCACAAACACTACATGAAAACAAATTGAAATTTTCAAAGCAACTGACAAACAAAGTTGGTACATTATTCTCTAGCATGCTAGGTTTACCGTTCTGAAGTACGTGCATAATAACGAAATCTATGTTCGTCGTCAACAGAAAACTGATGATACCCAAAATGACTTTACAACGAGACCTAAAATGGGAAATGCTTAAAAGACAACCGTGCTGTCAGATAAATATTTGGTAATTATAAAATTAGTGAAACTTAGCCTTTGACCCTGGTTCACATTCCGTTCAGAATTAAGATCACCTAGAATAACCGTCTCAGTTACTAGAAACTGTCGAAAATAATAGAATCCTATAAACAATCCGCTTGACTTTGGTGTAATTAAATGTTACAAACTACAAAAGTTATGAATGACCAGTTGTACTCTGCGATTATATCGACTTACTGTGTCGTATAGCTACTCCTGTAGTATTCCTTTCCAACCCCCTATCTAGGGGTTATTCAAATAAAACTAATCAAACACATTTCTCCTAAATCTCATGAATAGATTAGTCACAGCCAACCGTCCTGTATTAGGATCACAAGAGAAACTCATCTGTTCAACATTACAGACCAATGATAAAAGTTTGAGGACAGTAGTAACAACTAAGAAAGCTTGGATCACGAAAAGTAGTCATATCCCTCCTTTAACTAATTTTATTGAAGCTTCAATTGTTCTGTATTAAATTGACTAACCAGCTTATCAAACGATCTGATATTGGGATCATAATGATGGGTTCGAGGTACAGTAGGAACACATGCTTATTAAGATCCAGACAAGTCAGTAAGTTGTAAAGATAAATGTACATCCTAGACACTGCCGCTACCTGATAGCGAACAACCACAGCATATGTTATAGTGTAACTTCCCTATAGGCCTGTTTTTAAATTCCAATGGCCAACAAAATACTGAAAACAGTCAACATAAGGTATGGAAAAACCTAGAATCATATATTATAACCACGATGACACTGACGACCTACCATTTGTTTGAACGATCTCGATATCATTAGTCTTAAGAGACATAATCCACGTGTCCAAGCTGTCAAATGCCATTACCTGAATTCTGTTTACAGAAGCTTAACTGGTGTAGATAGATGAAGGCCAGTAATTAGTGGACCAATCAGGGTTCAGCATAACTGAACAGAGGGGTGTAATAAATCTGTTCAGTAAAAAAATCATTATCAGTACTTGACAAACGGTTGGATAAAAAAAATCGCGATGAGAATCAATCACAAGTGAGAATGTATTTGAGATCTATGGTAGATTCACGTTAGGATTCATTGACGGCATAGTAGTGTAGATGTGTCTAGCTTTTATACGAAGCAGAAGCTGCCATATTGATCCAATCAAAATCTCACATTTTAAATTCCCTACGGCTGCCTAGACTAAACCATTATCAGCACAAATCTGCCCTTGTGCTAGAAATTGCATTCAACAGAATAGTAGTTTAATTTGTATCTTTAGATGGAGTCTATCTAGACTAGTATTCTTTAAAACTCCCTATAAAATCCAATCAAAATTAAAGTGGAACGAAAATTGTCCAATAGGAAGGTGAATTCATATAACGATGGTTTTAGTTGAGTAAGTTTACAATCGCTTCTTTAATTTTCAAAGCAAGTGGGAAATATGGGGACAAGTAAGTATGAGAGATTAGAAGTATGGTATTTTACACAAGTGATAGTAAAAAGGTTTTAACTAAGTGTAGTATTCTAACACGTTGACAAATAAAACAATATGAAGGTTTCTTTTACAGTTGATCCTGTAAACAACTGTTAATTATTTTGCAGTGAATGAATATTTGCCATACTAACCGAGCTACCAAACTCCATAAGTCTAAAATGGTGTGCATTGATCATCCGGTGCGACTAGAATTTATGAATAAACTTTGAGCAATACAAAAGTGACCTTGGAAAACAGCCAGCTACCAGGGTTGAAAAACGGTTATGAATCAATGTGAGAAATTAGGATTATGGGCAAAAGTTTGGAGTTTGAGGTTATCGACTATAATAATAACAATAACCTGTAAACACATTTACTTGTGACGTAATACTGTTGAGACCCAACATAAAGAAAGTATTCATTCTCAGAGCTACTCCCATTCGTTACTATTGTTTATCAGTTTATCTGCAAAATAATCTGATAATTGGGAGAGTAATAGTTCTCTTTCAGTATATTTTTTACACTAATTAATATCAAAATCCAAAAAGTATTAATATTCCCAATTAATATTATGTTAGCATAGAATTGTGGAGATTAAAGAGTCTTACAAAAATCATGAACCAACCAAAGTTAGATAATCATTGAAAACCTGGAAGCACTGAACGATCGTTCTGTACTAGCATGGGACTCGTCATTGTATATCTATGACCCTACAACTGGAGGTCGAACCATGAACCCTTGGCCTCGCTAGTAGATGCTTAACCTCTAGGCCACTGAGCTGACATAAGATGGTGTACAAGTTTGACTATCAATCCACGGTATTACGCGTTCATCTTGTTTTACCATCGGTGGATATCCTCCTCACACCTGAAACAGTTGAACTCCACTGATCACGGCTTCTCACTAAAACGCTGAAATATCCCTCTCTTATCTAGTCACTAGTGAGCACATAATAATTTTCAGTATAGAGTTGTGGAGGCCAATGGCCCCAGGTTTGATTCCTGGTTGTGGGGTCGTGGATGCGTACTGGTGAGGAGTCCTATACTACATACTACAGCAATGAAAAGCATCAGCCGAGAATTATTAATTCCTCTTAAGTGAACATCCTATCGATGTATGAACTATGCATTTAAGGTCATTTCCTGTGCCATAACGAATTAGTTATAACGTTTTACAACTAGAGGAAATATAACAGAAACAAAGAGCACGGAATGAAAGTCAATAATTACTAAGATAAGTTAACCGGGTCTACCATAATACATGTGTCGGGCCATTTTATGATATACTGTTCGTGTTAGATATTATTCAAATTAATTAAGGTTGCCCAAAACAGTGTAAGTGTAAAATAACAGAAGGTAGGGATATTTGCTTAGTTTATTCAGTAATAAAAACGATTAAACATATGAAGTTCCTGTAATCTTACTTGTGGAATAAGATACACTTACTGGTGTGAGAACATTTAATGCATTTTCAGAGAAGCAGTATGCATCGATGAAGTGAACAAAAGATGAGAGTGATTTTATCTCACGGATAGATTGTGATAAATTATTCTAGAATCTGGGAAATTTACTGATAAAATAATTAATATAAAGAGAAGATTTATAATGCGGTTGTTTCATTAATGAAAAAGAGTTACGAATGCCGTAACTAGAAGTTTCTGCATATTGTGTTCGTTTGTTAATTCCAGAGTGCTCAATCATAAATCTATGTATGTTTGTTCTAAACAATAGCCATATACACTATGTCAAATAAACCTTCAATACATATCTACTTTAGGGAAATGTGAAACTTGTTTTCATCAAAATTATCGGAAACAAAAGGATCCAAACAAGTACTTCGAACTAGTTTGAAACTCCTCTGAAGTTATCATTCCAAATAACACATATGATCGAGTTTGGTATCTTTAGTTCTTGATAAGAACACCCAAATGCTTACTCATGGATTTAATCCTGCATGAATTCATGAATGAGTACTAGTAAGAAGTTCTGAATCAGCCTAAAACAGTTATTTGAAGCCCTATATTTTCAATCGTTCACCAGACGATTATACTCAGTGAATACTCTTCAGTCCGTCTAATAATCTATCAAAGCCTATCATTTAGTTCAAACACTAAGAATCCAATAAATAGAACAAATAGACCTTATACATGAGTATTTTCATTATCCTCCACCACAAAATAGTAAATATTCAAAAAAGTAGGTAAAAGAAACTCTAATCTTCTTAGAATCAGGTTCATATTTCCTTAGTTTTTAATCCCCTGTTTACTGATCAACCTTTTTAGTAATATATGTCAATACTAACTCATAAAACTAATCCACATATTCATAAGCATTATGAATTATAAATTGTAAGAAAGAGGATATATGTATAAATATATACGAGTTGACTAGTATCCATATTCATTAACTTCCAGTTAAAACTCCAGTCAAGAGTAAGTCAAACATTATTATTTTACGTAATGATCTGTAGATTACTTATTTATTTATTTTACTTACACCTGTTGCTCCCAATGGAGCATAGGTTGTCGACCAGCATTCTCCAACCCACTCTGTCCTGAGCATTTCTTCCTAGTTCTATCCAATTATTGTTCATTCTTTTCATGTCTGTCTCCATTATTCGGTGTAATGTGTTCTTTGGTCTTCCTCTCCTCCTTTGGCCTTGAAGATTCCAAGTGAGATACAATATCGTAAATATACCAATTCGACAGTACTGTATTTACGGAGCACTATTACCAATGATACGTAATCCTTATCTGACTATTAAACAAATATTAACTTATAAGCAAAGATGGATAGTGACTAGCAATGGAATCCAGGACGCGCGTTTCGCCCTATTTGGGACTCGTCAGCTGGATTCGCCTGCATCTCAGAAATGATGTTCACTCTGAGACTCGGACCCTATACCGTTCACCTCAAACCTCATCACTTTAGCTACTTAGCTACTGAGTCCTGAGTGATACATCCGACTGTCAATTCATAGATAGAACAAAATGCGCTTCAAACTGGATTCCACTGCTAACAACTATCCATCTTTTCTTATAATGCTTGTGAATTAAGGCAATGCACATATGCTTACAAGAGACTGATCAATTACACCCCTTAACAACAATGGGAAGATACAAACAAATAATACCAAGTGGATCTAAATATTAGCTTAATTCACGAATAGCTATAGTAACACTACTTTCAGTTTAGTTTGTAAAAGTTCCATATGACAGTTCGCTGTATAGTGGGCTGCTATGATTCATTTTAGTCTCAATATAAACCATACAATTAAGATAATAAATTATTAAAAATTCAAGAATCATCTAGTAATCACTTTTTCCTTATTTAATCAAAAAAAGAGATGCGAATTACCACTTATTTATTGAAGATGCCACAAGTATTTGTAGTTTGACAACACTTTAACCAGTAACACCTTTTATAATTGAATCGTGCCCACCCAGTGAAATAAAAACTCATAAGCGAGGAGATTCAAAGATATATTTGATAAGTTATCAATATATCAAGAAGTGATTGATCTAAACTGGCTAGCACATGTAGAAGAAGTTGAGCACAGCGTACCTACTCGTGATTTGATACGGATGCATGACCGAGCACCTTCAGCTAGATGAGTCCATTAAAACTAATGTAGTCAACATCAAATGTTGAAGACTTACAAAGCTATTGATTTGGGAGACTTATTTACCGTAACAGTATTTTGTTTTTCATTAAAATCATAAAGATTTACAAAGTATGATGAAAAAATCAATCCATCACCTCCTTTACATTGTTCCTAAAACTTTTTCAGTTAAATATCATACTATGATATTATTCTTACTTACTTACGCTTGTTACTCCTCGTGGAGGAGCATAGGCCGACCACCAGCACTCTCCATTCAACCTTGTCCCAAGCAATCCTTTCCAGCTCTTTCCAGTTGTTATTCATCCTTTTCACCCCTCCTTCCAATTACCGATGCAGTGTGTACTTTGGCCTTTCTCTTCTCCATTTCCCTTCAGCATTCCAAGTTAGCGCTTGCCTCATGGTGCAGTTTGGTGGTTTTCGTAGTTTATGTCCTATCCATTTTCAAACATGTTTTCCTAATTTCTTCTTCAACTGGAAGTTGGTTTTTTCTCTCCCACAGTTGGCTGTTGCTGATAGTATCCGGTCAGTGGGTGTTGATTATCTTACGTAGACAACTATTTATAAATAATTGTATTGTTTTAATGATGGTTGTAGTAGTTTTCCAAGTTTCTATTATCTCATAAATTAAGTTGTTTTATTACTATACCAATTATAATTTCAACAATGATACCTGAAATTAAAGGGTTGTTGTTGCCCCACATGGATATAAGCGAATCGATCAAATAAAATATATTAGTAACTTATTAAAATGACTCATTAATTGATTGATTGACTGATTGATTCACTGACTAACCCTATAAACTTTTTATGACTCATTTCACTAAGTATCACACTACTTAATTGTATGTGATAACTTCACAGGTATGTCATATGATGATGATCTTCCATAGAATATTGAGTAATGGATATTTTAATATTAAAATTTAGCATAGTGATTTTTTAATATGAATATTGAATAGTCTGTTATAACTTGTGATCTGTGTACCTCGTTATTCTATAACGTAATGATACCGCCAATCAGAGTACAATGATTTATTGACTGGACCAATGA